AGCCAGTGACCTTTTAATTTAATTTATAAAAAAATCTCAAAAATTGTAATCATTATCGTTAATACAAGATGTGAGTAACGTAACACAAAATCTTGTGCTACCACTTGACAATAATTAATATTTTATCAGGCTCTTTTTTTATAGCCGGAAACTTTTGCACGCCAGTGTATATAAAATTGATTACTTACAGCATTATTTCCCCAAGATCCTGCTACATCGGGAGAAGCCGGTTGTAGATAATGAACCTGCACTGTCGCGCTGTGGAAGACAATATATTCTCCATTATTTAATTCAACTCTTCGATTCCAGTTGTTCGAGAGACACGCCAGCTTATATTCATCCTCAAGTTTGGTAGCAGTACTCTCATTGTATGGAACGTATCTCGGTTCAGTTGCTCCCTTGAAAAACCAAGAACATCGCCTAACTTCGTTGGATGTTCCAGTCCAATAAACAGGTGCTCTTTGACGACGTAAAATATCAACATCATAACGTCCACCATCAGTAGCTACTGTGGTTTCGGGCGTAATATCACTCGAATTATGAACTTCTTCTAGCTTTAAACTATCTTGCATAGAAAATGGTAGCCATAATGTTTTGTTCTCAACTTCCCTACGGTAAAACCAATGATGATATACCGGTCTGTATTGCATTCGTTTGTCGGAGGATCCAGAAGCCTAAAAAATATTAATATTCTCTGTATAACCACCCACTATTATATTTTGGATAATTAAAATTAAATAAATTATAATTCATTATACTTTATTAAATATGCATACAAGTTTAAATATGTAAAAATGTATCTTAAAAGATTAATTACACAAATAATAATTGGTATTAATTACAAATCTTTGGATTATCTTTATTTAATTTTATTAATGAAATAAAAGTTTAAATTGTGATATCCTTACCCAATTTTGAAAACTTGGTGGAACGGTATCTGGTGTGGTGCGGTTGGTTGGTGAATTAACCGACATTTGAACAGGACTAAGTGTGGCTGATCCCGTTAGTTCAGGTACTGACGTTGTTATCGATAGAGCGGGCGAAGAATATGCTGTATTATTTTCAGGAATAGTGTAGGGTTGTTGCAGTGCAGTGTTACCCCCGTAAAACGGCGGATTTTGATATGATTGTTGCTGTGAAGAATGTTGGTCGTACGTATGTGGAAAATTCGGTTGCTTAGGAGGTTCATTCACAAATTGAGTAGGATTATAAAATACCGGTGCTGGTTGTTGGATGGGAGCAGTGTATACCGGTTGGTTAGATGTTGTATATGTAGGCTGACTGGATGCAGCGCTTACTATCTGTGATTGAGAAGATTGATTGGTATTCCAAAATGATACATGTTCCGTGGAATCAATCGCTTTAGAATTAAATGCGGAATTTTCTTGAGTTTGCTGCAAATTATTTGTTGCGTTAACTGCTGATTGGGCAAATGGAGAATTTGTATTTCTTTCGTGCGACGAAAAACTTGGAAACCTATTTGGTTTTGCTGATTCAAAGAACACACTTGCCGATTGTTCTGTTGGTTTTGGTGCGTTGTAAAAATCAATGGAAGAAGAAGTTTGCTGCGGAAGTTGGATAGGCGATACGTAATTTAAACTGGATTTTTGTTCTACAGGCTCATTTGTATAAAAGGTGGAGTTTGACATAGACATCGATTGCACTTGATAATGCTGTTGAGACGGATGTTCGTTTAACTTCGCCAATTGGGGATTTACTGTAACCAAACCGTTATCAGCGGTGCGTATTTCTGGGAAGATCACTGATTGCGTCGCTGACTCTTGCCCAAGAAACACGTCACTCCATGTGTCACTTCCAGGTTGAACTGCTTTCTCTTGTATATCATTTAACTTTACTTTGTGTGATTTATCAATTATCTCATTTGTAGCCTTCAGCCCGTCGCTTTGCGATTCAAACGATTTCGTTAATTCAGTAGTAACGTTGGATGTTTTGTCAACTTCCGCTGGAGCTTCAAGAATTGCTACGGAAGAATTTTCCTGCTGTTCTGCAAGTAAATGTTCTAATTTCTCTGTCACCTTAGCTGCCGATATTGGTGTAAATGTCGTCTCGGTTTCATTCGATATTAATGTCGATTTATATGAAGATTCTGTTGTCGTTTCGAGAGTACTGCCTTTTGAAAATTCCGGCGGTGAATTTAGCTGATTAGGGTTTTTAATCACAGCTACCTCTTTGTCGAAATTAGATGTTGATGGTAAATCCTGATTCACATAAGGACCAAAACCAGGAAATGAGATATTCGCCGGGGTGTTTTGTGGCGTTGCAGGCTCCAATATCCGTGTAGGTATCGGTCTAGACGATGACGAAGGAAATTGCGCAGACACGGAAGAACTTTCAAAAAACGGATTCTGATTTGTAGACGTTATAGATGAATTATACTGTGTTCCTGTTGCAGTTGGACTGGAACGAAACGAGCTGTGAAGAGAGCTATTTCGCGATAGCTGCTCAGACGTTGGTAGTTGTTCGGGCAAGCAACTAGTTTGTTGCACGCTAGAATTGTTACCCTGTGCCAATCCCTCTGATTCATATGGATTCAAAATAGTTGGTGATGCAGAGACATTTTGATTCGGCAAGAAAGTTTGCAATGCTGGATTTGGATATGACTTTGCGATGTCAGACGTTAGATCAGGCGGCGGTGCATACTTTAAGCGTCGTTGATTACCAAGTCGATAAGAAACAGGCGCTTCAACAAGAAATAATAATTGTTTCAGATTAGATATACTTGAAACACACGTTGTATAACATCATTATATACTCCCCAGCAAACAGAAAGTTACATGTAACGTACCTGTTAATGTGTCAGGTTACAGTTATATTATTGAGTATAGGAAATTATAACTAACAAGTATTTTCCTCTACATATAACTTTGTGTTTACTGGGACAATAATACATCCAATAAAAGAATTTAATATAAATATACATACAAGCAACATGTAAAAATAAATTTAAATTTAAATTAACCATAAAGTTCTTATAGCGAATTCGATTGGACGCATTAGTACATATTAAAGCCATCGTACAGTGTATATTAATTTGTGTAAATGTAAGATGTAAATATATTAAATTATAAAATAAAAATTTTACTTAACACACACACACACAACAAGCATAATAAAATGTATTGAGGATTTCATGGTTTAATCCGTTTTTATATTTGTATATATTAAACACACATTTTTTACGTTAATGTATGTACAACGACTTTAATATGTATTCAATCAAATTCGTTGTTGGAACTGCATTATGTTATGTCATATCAAATTATTTATTGTGTTACATTTGTATATAAAATAAATATTTAAAATTTGTTATAAAGATTTTATTAATTTTATTTATAAATTCAAGCATTTACCATATCCGGATTGAGATACACTGGGTGGAGCTGCCGGCTGAGGAGGATTAGGTGCAGTACCACTAGGAAAAGCAGCAAATCCTGACAAGTTTGTACTTCGAGAATCCTGAGGATTGATTGCTAAAGATCCTGGTGTTTCTGACGGAAAACCATGATATCCTTGCGGCGTTATATAAGGATTAGGTTCGTGCGTTGTTCCGCTGGTGTTTTCGGGTATCTGACTTATTTCCGGTCCCAAGGAATCGGATTTAATCGATAACGACAGATTTGGTAGAGAAGAGAGAATCGATGTAAGATATCCAGATTTTGCTGGCTGACTCGCGGTATCCTTGTACTCTTTTGGCTGAGTAGATGCATTAATGGAAGAATCCTCGTTTGTTCGTACTGAAGATTGAGATTGGATATTGACTGGCTCTTGTCCTATAAAATTGTCCAGCTCAGTATCTAAAAAAAAATACGATGTCAGATAATATTTGATATCATTTTATATTAATAATATTTTTTTATATTTTTCGTTTAAAAGCGTTGCTTATAGTAGAGAATATATTGTAATTTATATTATCTTTTTAATATCTACATATTTGTTTGGCGTACTTAAAATGCTTCTACTGTTATCACATAATGTTATTAAATTTATCTTTCTACTGTTGTTAAATGTTTTGCAATAATATTTACATAAAAATAAACAATATTAACAAGCAATTATAACAAAAATAAATGTTTGTGTCATATAGCTTTAACATTATTTTTTTCAAAATAAATATTTTTTTAGAAATTTGAGCAAAATTTTCAAAAGTTACTACGACATTTAATAATTCTTAGTTAGTATATTTATTCAATAATTCTTAAGTTATCAGATATAACAATGTGTTCTCATAAAAAATCCCTTTCGACTAAATTCTCCAACAGATTATTCACAAACTGTCAATATTGAACAGGATGCAATGAACATAAGAACCAATGACGAAGATAATGCGAGCCAACCAACGTGGACTATTCTTACACTTTTACGTTGTTGATTGCAAGCAGTTTAATAGACTTTAAATTACCAACATTTTTGTAATGACACATCTATTATTTATAAATTATCCATATTTATATGTAAAAATAACTTATGATAATTATAATAATATCAGTTGCATAAAAAATTCATATTAGTGATTCTTTAACATTGAGTCCATACTTGTTTTATTCAATACTAATCTCTACGCACACGCTATATAGTAATTAATTATACAAGCATTTATGCATCAATAACATTTTTTTATTTGTATTTATGATAAAAATAAATGAGGGACGGTATTGCTTTACCACATCACATAATTTTAATTGCGATTAATGCTTGATTCAAAGCATTTCAATGTTAAATGCAAAATCAAGGTATTAAATGCAGCTAGTTTATTATATCTAATGTATAATATTTATAAGTTCATCGAAGCATCGTATATCAAAGTTTGCTCACAACGAGATATATTCGATTGTGCAACGACACGCTTTACGCCTAAATTTACTTTTGCTCATGTTATCGTCAATATAACTAAAGACACGTTACCCCTTTGTAAACTTACGCGAACGAAACTTTATAAGTATGCCGTACATTTTTGTGTCGAGTCTTTCGTTCGAGGTTTCCGTTGCGGTCACGGTATGGAATTACGTGTGTTCCTGCTTTTGGTAACGTGCTATTTGACTTGCATTCTATGCAGAAATGCAGATAATGGATCAACTAAAGTTTTTCCGTCAATTAATAATGCTTCTCAACTGGGTGCGAAAATATCTGTGATAGACGATACGAGAACTGAACAATCAATTGAAACAAAAACGAGACCAGATGAAATAACTTTGAAGGATAATTTGTCTAAGCCTGAAACTCTTTTACAAGAATCTCCGCTTGTCGAAGATTTAGTGATGAAGACGAGGATTTTTGACAACTTTAAAAAAACAAAATGTTCCAGGTTTGTTATTAATTCTCATAGTAAAAAAAAGTTATTAAATAAAAATAATAGTAAACATTTTTAATATAATTTTCATTTTTTTCTACTCACTTGCGGATACATTTGTAACATAAAAACGCAAATAGAAAATTATATTTAAAAATATTATTTTTAATAAATCAATACTTTTTAAAATAAGCCGTAAAATATTTCTGTTAAAAGGTACTGTGTGCAACAATCGGAAATGAACAAAGATTTCGAAGATATTAAACTTATTTTGTCATTTGCCAATGAGAACGGAGATGGTAATAATTTAACATAGCGTAAATAATACAGTGTAATATCTAACACACATAAATGAACTTTCTTTAAATTATCATTATTATTGACATTAATTGTTTATCATGTTCGATTAAATATTGACGTAAGTAAATTATACGAATCGTGCTGATATGGATAATTTCTAAGTTGTAACTGCACGTTATAATAGTTGATGACGTACAATTAGAAATTATTTGAAATTTTCGAGATAAAGCTGTAAATAATATTGACATACATTAATAACATTAGTCATTACTGTATTATAAGACATATATTGAATAACTACATGTTTCCTGGATCGATTTAAAGTCAATCTATAAGATATATAATTATCTATTGAAGTATACTTATTTTATGGATTATTTTATGGATATATTTTATAAGATATATAATATAATGTATGAAATATATAATGATATGTTTTAAAGAACATGAAAAATAATGACAATATTAAATCGAACATTTTTTAATGTAAATAAGTTTTTAATAAGTATAAAATATAAAAACAAATCTTATACATAAATATGAAAATAATATTATAAGCAAGCTTTATATAACTATTTTGTATATCATTTCAGATTATTTTTCATTTGAAAACAGTTCAAATTTTAAGATACTAAAACATTCATCTACAGATAATAAAAGTTTAACAATCTTTGATTATTGCAAAGTAAGTTAATTTTGTAAAAATCGTAAAAATCTTATAAATATTATTACATATTTAACATTTATAGATCTATCTTAATTTAAATTGTGACATCATAAATATGGAAAGAAATTTAGCGACAAAAAACGACAAATTTTACTCGAATTTAAAGTTTAATCGACAAAATGTCGAGATGTTTAAAAATTATTTTTTAAATACGCCAGAATTCTCGGTAAGACTAAAATTAATACGTTTATATAAAAAAAAGAGTAAAAAAGAAATAATTAATAAAATATATATGTATCTTAGAAAAAATTAGAACACAGAGTTAATTTGAGCGGATATACTGAAAGCAATTTCGAAATTGTGGATACCAATGTAACTGGAATTGCAATCAACATTTTGGGACATCTTACACGTGTAGTTTTGATAATACCTAGTAATAGTGAGTAATTTTTCCTTTACACTTTATTTTTAAATATAATAATTCTGTTTGACTTTAAAAGATTTCTATCCAAACTATTTTCTGCAAACAAGATCAACGATGAATTTTATATACGACATATTCTAAATAATTTCTCATATTTTGACATTCAAATGATTAGAATACCAGTCAAGTCGCGATAATAAATAAATAAAATAACAATCAATAGTAAATAACACATTTAAGTAATGTTTCTGAACATATCTATGACACCGTTAGTTACAACATGTATGTATATAGATGAAACTGTATCATTCTTCATAGCACATGATTAACTAAAATAATTAATAGATATAACGTAAAAAAAACATATTCTTATTATTATGTGAAAATAAATTTAAAAGATTTTATATTACTCTTGTACTTAAAAAAATACTTGTTATATATAAGAAAATTATTTCAAAATTCACAGTAAACATATTATAGGTTGTATCGAATTATCACATTTAATGTTTTTACACCAGTTTTTTCCCTAGTATTAGTGGCATTCAATCATAAATATAGAATTGTCGTTATATATTCGGTTTCATTTAACCTCTCTACATCAAGGGTAGTATCGATCTGGTGGTTGCTTTCTACGTATTCATTGTATCACACTATGTAAATGTCACACAAGAATTAGTTTCTGAATTTTTATCTAGTTATAAGATTTTTCTAATTTTTTAACCACAATATATTTTGCACAGTATACTTCACACACAAAACTCTTACAATCAATAAATAAGTTCCAAACGATGCAAGAGAACAGAATATTTTATCAGAATTACGATTCTTTTATTGTCCATCAATTAGGCTTACCCTCAAAACCAATGCGATGTTTAATTCAAGATTAATTTTCACTTCCAATATGTATTTACAGACAAAACGATAGAGAGACCATCAGAAATAGTGATATCTTCGGCAAGTATATACAACACAAAAGGGGTGGCTATCGGCGCGCGCAACTTTCCGGATAGATTGAGCGTGAAGCTAACGGGGATGGAAAATTTAAAATACAACATGGACGTAATTGCTTATTATGGAGTAAATCACGAAAATAACACGAGAGGTGACATTAATTCTATAAGTGATAAGCAAAATTGCAATTTGTGGTGTTAATCATGACAATTACGGCGCAATAAAAAAATAGAAGCTATTTTTTACACATAAATACATTTATAAAAAAATATATTTAAAATATCACTCGCATTTATTTTTATATTTATAGAATGCCATATAAATTCTCAACATGAATTATTACACAGATATTCTGCTGACAATTAGACGTACATTAATATATGCACGTATTGATATTGATTCATTAATTATGAAGCTTCTAATTTAAAATAATTAACTGTATTGTATACATCACAAAAGGTAAAATTTTATCTTTTATTTTATAATCTTTTATACTAAAATATAACCGAAGAAATCTCGAAATAGAATTATAATGATTTATAAGTATTATCGAGCTATGTGTGCATGTGTCTTTAAAATTTAAACACGAATGTAACAGTTTCAACAAAAGTATATATGAATAACACTTTTGTAAAATATATAATATTATTTCAGTATGGAAAAGAAATCGAAATTACACCATCATATTATTGCAAAAGTAAAATAAAGTGAATTTTACATTTAGTAATGTAGGAACAATTGTGAATATAAAATGAAAGAAATAAATGTAGAATCGTGAATATAAGTGTCAGAAAGAATACATATCGTAACTTTATCACCAGTCATGCATTATAATCGAAATTTATATATATAGATACATTTATATTAGCACATATATGAATATCACATATATTTTATCACATATACATACAATACTTTCATTTTTTCGTAACAATGAAGGGAGATCACTCACTCTTATCTTCGCGCAAATAAACAGCGACTTAACAGTCGGCAAAACGCGCATTCGTGCATTCTTACACAACATCCAACTTCCTCTTAACACGGCAGTAGTCAGACTGCCAATCCGTTAGCTTCTGGCTCGTGGATACGCGAGATTGTGCAATTCACTCAATGCCCTTTGGCCATGCATCTCTCTCTCTCTCTCTCTCTCTCTCTCTCTCTCTCTCTCTCTCTCTCTCTTACTCTCTCTCTCATTTTTACATGATTTATTCTGACTCATTAACTTGCACAGGAAGTAATTTAAGAAATTTTTTTGTTTAGTCTCATCATAAATTCTCATCATTTAGAATGCAATGTTTAATATGGCTCTAACAATAAAAGAAACAAATATTTTCGATTGCAAAGAAGAAGCATGCACAATCAAATATTTCTTAGGACAGAGATTTAAATAACTACTCTCTTACGACCATTAAATTTCTCTAAACGATGCCAATACTATTATTATTGTCTACAATTCTATTTTTAACCGATTTGCCCAGTGTACCTGTTTTTCTTATCACACATTTTAGTTAAAGTAATTGCTGTTTCGAAATTGTCCGTATTATTATTTTAAGCATTTATTTCTTCTACATAGATATTTTACTTTCCGTTTATAGTTACAGAAACTTTGTACTTTAATGTTTTAAAATTATTTTTCGCTTCTTTTGTATCCTCCACAAATATATGATTATATTATATTCCAACGTAATAAAAATCTATTATTTTCGGTTTTAGTGACGCAGAAAAGAACCTTTGTAATCAGAAATTTTGCATATGCATCTGAATAATGAAATTAAAAAGTCATGTAGACTGATATTACCTATGCTGTTTAATAAACCAAAATTTTAAGAATTTATCATTTATGCGATGGAATATATAATAAAAAAAAATAATTTGCTATAACAACATAATAGAATATATATTACGGAAATTTATATTTATTGTTTTTTTTTCTCTTTTTCTCTCTAGAAATTAACAGAAAAAAAGATATTTTTAACGAGATATTAGGTGAAAAACATATCACACGAGCCAAAACATCAACTATAATTGAAGTAAGTAATAAAATTGATCAATTACGTAATATATAATATCCAATTATTAAAATATTTTTAATCTTATTAAATTATTTTATAGAGAGAGGAAACTCACGAGAACGCTGCCAATATATATACATATAAAGATGCCAATTTACTAAATTCAATAATAAATAGGAAACGAAGATTTGAAAGATCAGCAGAAATTATGGATCAAAAAAAAAATAACGATGAAATAACAGATTTTTCTGATATGTCATTCTCCAAGCGTGAATCTACTGCAGTAATTGACAAAAATAATATTAATTCTTCCATCTTACATAACAATTCTTTGATAAGTTATGGCGAATTTAAGATTTTTAAACAAAATTTTTCAAATATCAAGGTATCTAAAGAATATATTTTTAAGAATATTTTTGATGAATTTATAATACTGACTTTTTTTATTAACTTTTTATAAAATAAATAAGATTTTGTACTATGCAGGAGCAACAGCAAAAAATTCAAGCGCGATCGTCGGAAGTTACGTCATTAAATGAAGACGTTGATGTAAAGATGAAATCATCCGCTGAGAGCGTATCGATGCAAATTGAAAGAGACAACGATCAAAATCAAAAACTTTCAACACAAATTAACGAGGATCCTTTCGAAAGAAAAAAGCTGCTGTTAGATGTGAATGCAAACAGCAAATTGATCGCTACACCAGGAACACTACATAAAGTGATTTTTGATGCAACAAATAATTGTGTCCTTCCAGTTAGATATGCAATTCAAGCAAGAAGCTCTCCCCTTAGAATTTCAAACATCCAACCGACATAGTGAGTAAATTACTTTAGTTAGTTAAAACGATTAAAATAATTAAAATAATAGTAATAAAACTAACTAATAATAATAATAATTAATAATTAATAATAACGATGATAAAAATAATAATAACGTGAATAATTAATAATAATAATAAATAATAATTAATAACGATGATAATAATAATAATAATGAAAATAATTAATAAAATAAAAATTAATATTTTTAAGAAATTTTTAAGTAAAACTGTATATCAGTAAAACAAACCGTTAAATGCGTGGTATTTACAGTGAGCAATTATTTATAATATTAGTCATAAATAGTCATAAATATAAATATTAATTTATTAATTTTAATTCTTAATTACGTTCTTTTTATTAACATACATTAATTATTAAATTTACTGATTAAAACGGTTGAAACTATCGAAATTATGGAAACTACTGAATAAAAATGCGCGTTTATTTATGTAACTCTTACATCACATTGCCAATAACCTCAATATTTCAGCAACGACGAACATTTAGTTCCAGATAGAACCACAAATGTTATTTATTCACTTTTTAAACAAAGAGTTTTTAGAATCGTTCATGTGAACACATAACATTTTGTTGTGTTATTTACTTTTATTTAAATGTTAATAATCAATCATCATAGATTAAGAATTAAAGACTATAAATACATCTTATGTATTATACAGTAATAATTTTACACTATTTATTATGCGGTAATATCTTTACATTAATTAAAACTTTCAAATAAAATTTGAGGCTAATATCACTATTTACTATGACATTAGCAATAAATAAAATCTATACTTTAATTTATCATAATTATAGAGCATAATTGTATTGGTACATTAAATGTTTAATACAGTTTATGAAGTAAAATTTTGTATCTGATTAATATATTTATTTTTTCCAAAAATGTTTTATCTTTATAAATTTGTATCCAACAGCATGTGGCTGTATCCGGGACAGACAGATCAGGTAGTTGTATACATTTTTGTACCAGCAGGAACGCAAGAAACTGTCAATACGCTTACACTGTCTATCGCTGGTACAGAAATATTGGAGAAAACAGTACAGGTTTTCGTTCAAAATGAGTTTTCGAGGAACAATGATAATGTAAAACCAACAATTGAATACTGGTTCAATAGCAATTGTGCCGGTAAACTGGACAAAGATCGGTGCGAAAAAACATTTTGGAGTGCTGATATTACTGTCCAAGATTATGATTCAGGTAACCAATGAATTATGTTTAGTACCCGGTAAAAATTTTTCATGTATGAATATATATATATATATACATGTATATGTGTGTGTGTGAAGAAACATACATAAATATGTATAAATATTCATAAACCTATATAATTATATATGAAATATATCCATACATGTCTATACAGTCTTCTTTCTTGTAAAATTATGTTTTAGTGTAATGAAAATAATAAAAGTATAATAATATAGTAACAAATTATATAAATATAAATTTTTGTGCAACCAAGTCACTTATTTCTTTCTTTCTAGGTTTAAAACGCGTGATAGCAATACCAAATGGGTTATATCCACGCACTAAATACATAAGTGGCACAAAAGATCGAGTCACATTCTATTATTCATCAACTTGTTGCACACCAACAGCTACAATTACAGCGATAGACATATCGGAAAATCAGTACACTCGTAGTATTGATGTAACAGCATGGGACAATCTGTCACAAGGAGAAATAGCAGCTGTCGTACTCGGTGCATTACTACTTCTGTTACTTTTAGTATTTATCATTATTGCAATAGTATATTGTGTTCGTAAAAGGAGTAGTCATGATCTACCCTACACACAAAGATATGGCTCTAGATCACAGCCTGCTCAAGCAGAAAGAACAAGTTTCTAACAATACTTATAAGAATCAACTGTAATATGACTGTCATGATCAATTATATCTTGAAAACTGTAAATGAAACTTCCAAAATATTCAGAGTGTATATAAATAAAGTATTTAATTGATTTTTACGTTGTGTGTAAATCAAATTGATACTATATAAGCATGATGGAGTAACGCCCATGATTTATCTATGTACATCTACACATAAAATTAAAATCACACAAGATACGAAAAACCTTATTCTTTCCGTTGTTTTCAATCAGATCACTCAATTAATTATCAAAAAACATAACACAGTCACTATAAACACCTATTTGCAAGTTCATCCATGCAATTCTGTCTGGAAAAACTTTTATACTTTATAACCTCTATCATTTACAGTTAAAACGCACGTCGCACAAAAACACAGGCAAAGAAATCATCTTACATGATGTCCGTTGCGTCATCGTGACTTCTGTGCATATGTTTTATAAGCTTTATAAAAACTGTGTAGATTGACCTAGATAAATGTGAACGTTTCCACGCTGGAGTCAGGGAGTTCAGGGACTTTCTCATCATACAGCCTCTTTCTCTGTAATATCGGTAGAGTAAAAGATGACCGAATAACAGATGTTAGCCTACGAGTGTATTTCAGTACATGACCATACACGACAGAGGCATAATGCTGGGGAAGTTAAACGCAACGCAGTGGAGTAAACAAAACAGTGGTTGCTCTTTTATAAATTTCGTTTCGACCACTAACCGATTCTCTGTACCATCAGATTGAATAATACGACAAATTCGCGAGTCGCCGAACCCCGCCCACGGATTTCTGCTGAATAAACTCACCATCTCGGAGCACAGCTGGTGTCGCAGGTGTGACTGGTACCAGCAATGTGTTTTCCGCGTAATTATCGAAGGGAAAGCCTGGACCAGCGGCAGACAATAATGGATTTTTCATTTTCCGCGACGTACCGTTCATGTTCACCGTGATGTCGAAGCAAACACGATTCGCAATGGCACTGACATTAGAGGGTATTTACCCCTCGCAATAAAACAAGCACGTGAACTGTACTTTCGAATTCTTCCACGAAATACAAAAATTTGCACGACTTATCATCCACGTAAGCACATGTGCTCGTCACAGCAATTTGACAGTGACAGTGAGTACGTTGCACCTGTTCCGTGCACTTATGGAACGAAACTTTCTCGAGACATCGTCGACATAGGAAGTTTCATGTGTCCCTAATTTTAGATTGGTATTATGACTTGAACATACACATAAAGATGGAGCGAAATTCAACGATATTTACATCAAACAAAAGAAAAAGCACATTTATTATTCAATTTAATACTACGTACTGAAAATAAAGCCTTATCAAACAATTAACATAAATATAATTAAGTGATATTTAAAAAAAATATTCACTATTGCTTTAATCACAGATTTGATATTAATAATTATAACAATAATTATTTTTAGATGCTTGCAAAGTAAAATGAGTATATTTCAATTATTTAACTATGCAGTCAAATAAATTTATTTTGTTGGCTATTTTAAACGTTAATTTTATTTATAGAAAGTATTTGAAAACTCAGCAGATAATCTTTTTTTATATATACCGTTTTATATTATGATTATTGATAATTTCTTATTTATTTATTTATTATTTCTATTTATGTACTTTAATAAAAATATTATTTGTGTACAAATATTGTTACTTAATTAAGTTTTATTAAACGATTCACTTCGTACATTGTTTCTTCTATTAATAAATTTAACATTTAAATTTTACATGTTAATAGTTTACAAAAAATATGCCATGTTTTAATGTTTACAGGTATTTTTTTTCAATTTGTTTAGAACTCAACATCTCTATTATGACGTTGTAATAACTTTTCCATTATTTCATATTTTCATAATAATATAATATTAAAAATATGAAACACAAAATATTGTAATTAGATATTAAAAAGTTACATAACCATTATTTATAAAAATACAATATACATATATTTACTGTAAAACTTGTATAATTACCAACCGAACTTAAAAATATTAATATAAAATAATACTAAATCTTTTTTAGCAAATAACATCTAAATAATTTAATATTTTTCATTGATTACATATATGTAGCTAAAATTGTCTAAATTTGAACAATTAATATATTAAAAAATTAATTAAGCGTTGCTAAATAAATATATGAACTTACCAACCATTGATAATTACAGTTTCTATTTCGTCGGCAACTAGTCTTGAAGAAATTTCAGTTTTCAGTGTCTATACTTGAGGAATATATGTAATCATTTTACCCACAATTCTTCGTTTACGATAACGTTGATTTTAGTCTTTTTATTAAAACGCATAAAAAAAATTTTTTATTCATTTCTTATAAAAATTTCTTTTATAAATCTAAAATTAATAATTTATATAGTCACTTTTATAAATTATAATATTTTTTAAAAACTGCAGGGTGTTCCAATAACTATTACCATCTGAAATATCTTTTAATCTATAAAAGATATAGAGAAAAATTAATATAATCAAAATTAAACGATGTAAAAGGGGCTGTCATACGGTGATAATAATTTTTGTCCAGATAGAGAAGCTTCGGAGATTTCAAGGTCAACTTCGTTTTATCCTTTACGTCTCCACCTACAAAATAATTAGTGACATTACCCTAATCAGCATACCATATTTAAAAAATATTTTTTAAATATTTATTTAATGTAAAATAGTCGTAAAAACATTGAATAAACATTTAAAAAATGTTTCTTAAATATGGTATGCTAATTGGGACATTATGTGCCTTTCAAAACCAAACAACGTTTGTTTGATACTTTTCCTTCTATCGTTAAAAACAAGTGAGTTATTCAGGTGACCTGTTTTAAATGCCTCAAATATAATTTGATCTTTAACATAAAAGCATAGTCAAGAGAAAACTGTGAAAATGAAGTTCAACTCATATATGAGTCATATATGTTATGAAGATATCTTAATAGTCGCGATGTACTTCTATTTAATTATTTAATATGTCCGATAATATATCAAAATGATATAGTTACGTCTTTATTATATAGGTCCTCATTAATCGAGAATTATTTTAATCAACGTGCTTTGACTTCCGTAGGCTCATATCGTGAAAGATTAAACACCGAAATCCGATTTCCGATTTAATCCTTTTTGGCAAGAGCTTACGCAAAGATGATGGCATTAAAACTTCAAAGCGTAGCGTAATTAGCAGCATGTGATACAAGTACTAAAGATTTGCATGTCCCTTATATGCCAAGCGAAACTTTAACCCTTTGTGCATGCCTTCCTTAATGATCCGAGTTTATCAACAGGTTAATCCTTAATCGCCTTAAGAACAATTTACGTAGAAAAAACAATGTGTAAAATTATTTTTATAAAAAAAAAGGGTTTTAAATCTTTTTACTTTTGAAAGATTACTCTATTTTTTAAGTTTTTTGTGAGTTTGGTAATTGTTACATATAAAAGACTACGAACTAAAACAGATGAAAAAAATATTTTTTCACTTTGTGGGTCTTTCATGTCACCAAAAATTTGCGAAAATTTCCGATAACCTATCGTAAAAGCTTAAAGCTTTGCCTACTAAATCGTATTTTAAAAATGTTCCTACGATTTTTTATTCCTGAGTTTTATTCGCGAGTTAAATAAAAAGCATTCTGGTTTTGCTCATAACTCCGTTAAAAATTATTATAACGCAATTTAAAAAACAGATTCTGAAAGCTGAAACTTTACTCTATCGAATGATATAATTGCAACCTAAATTTTGCAATAAATGGTGGGTCGAGGAAAGATCCTTTTACACACATATTGTATATTTCCTTTAATTCAATATTTATTCACTGTAAGTAAATGTCCAGTTTGTACTGCTTAAAAAATATTCATTAAAATTTAGTAAATTTTTGCAGTATTAATAACTTTTATTTAAGATATAATACAATTTATAACATTAATATATTAATAATACTACACTCTGTAAACTTTTATAAACACATAGCTTATACGCTAATCAGCTTACTGCTGACCATGAAATTACAACCTTCATGGGGTTGGGAAAAAAATAATATTCTTTGATCCCCCATGTCGTCGGTCGTAGATGACATTGCTAAATATCACTCGATCGTGCATCCTTGTCCGCTAATCTATCTAATCTGCCCCAAAATGAAATAGTTGCGATTCTTTCGATGGCACCCTTTAGATGCATGTTAGCGGGAGAAAACACTTGACCCGGCTAGGAAGGGTGGCCTCTGAAGTGGTTTACAACAGGGGGATTATATTTGGGACAAAGTGACTGTCAGGGTACGATCATCGTCTCTCTAACTGGTCGTGTTAGCATACCTCTCAAGCCTTTAAAAATCGACTTTTTTAAGCGCTTTATACGTAGTGTTTTTCAAATAATTTTTTTTTTTTACAGATATTTTTCATTTGCTGTAATTATTAATAATAATGTAAAATTAAATTCTGAACATCATTTTTACGTCAATCTCTTTAAAATAAAATCTAATCAAGTACTATCCATCATCGTTCTATGAGATATATATAAAAGTGCCAGCTACCTCTCTTAACAAGAATTTTCCATAAAAATGTTATGAAAAAAATTTCCTTTCTTATATGATGTGCATTAATTTAATGCAAACTATTAAACATCAAAATTTACGATTTCATAATAACAAATACTATACTTCATCTAGTACATAATCACAAAGTATACGTTTCTCCATCCCCAAAGTATTCGCTCCATAAGTAGCTAAATTCCATCAGATTCTTTGGTGAACATATAAATCTGAAAATATCAGATATTACGTACATACATAGACATGTATGTGCAACGACATTTCACGAATATATCACATGCCTGTGCGAACAATACGAGTCGCAGCGTTCTCTCTTTTTTCGCTTTTTTGACTCACCTACGCATCTCCACGCCCCTCCACGTTCCTCTGGGTATCCAGGCAGAACGAGGGCGGCGTAGAAAGCAACGGGGATAGGGTGCTGACTTTTATTACTCCGTCTGATGTTATGAATGCGACCTGTACGCAGCCCCTCGAGCGTACGTTTC